TCCTTTATTGAAGTTACAAAAGTTATTCGGTCTAGAGCAGTGAGTGATTTTCTCTTTGTCTTTTGTGTTTGATTAACATTAAAAACACAGGAATATTAGGCTGCTGTCACTTTAAGAGCTAATGTACAGATCCAAAATACTGATACATGTGCGTTTTCTTTTTCAACGGTTTAAAATGGTGGTTCAGAGTTTTGGACATCGGGCGTCATTTCCAAGTTAGCCTTAGGCTCAATCCCAATTCACCCCTTGGCCCTACCCCTTGTTTTCGAGTGTACCCCTTGGCCCTTAAAACACAGTTACAAGGGCCAAGGGGTTGAAATATTCCCCTACGAAATGGAACAACCCTTCATGAACCCGATACGTCATCAGTCGTCGGCGATGGCTCTGACGTTACAGAGTTTTTACAGGATTTCTCCATGACAACGACTGACCATCAGCGCAGCTGCTCTTAACTTTGAGGAAACATGATGCATACAACGTTCCTTCCTCGAAATGTATGTCTTTTCTGTTTCGGAAAGGTAATTTATTATACAATGTCTTAATTTAAATGACTATATCATTATTATAAGAGTAAATAAAGTGCACGGTGGTGTCATCTGGCGCTAAATTGAAATGTTTAACCGTTTGTGAAGCCATCTCGCCGGTGATTCGCGATGTATTCTGCGAACTTTCTCGTAGCCCTCCGTTTGGAGTGTGCCTCTGAAAAATCTCCGTTTCGAGGGCTATGTAGCCCTACCCCTTGGCCCTACCCCTCGATCTAAACAAGAATCGGGACACCCTACCCCTTGACGTGAACGCGCAAAACGGAGGGGTAGGGCCAAGGGGTGAATTGGGATTGAGCCTTAGTGTTATTTATCAGTGGAGACAGTTTTCAAAAATGTTCATCCAGTCGTTCCAGTTGCATAGTTCGCCGGTGCTAGGCTAGCGCGAGTCAGCGGTAACTGCTAGCCTGCCATTAAAAACAGTTTTACCCACTCCACAGTTCACCAAAAGCAAATAATTATAACACCAGACTATCGATGTAAATGTCTGTTAAGAGAATAATGTTAGAAATCAAACTACCCTTTCATCGCATTACAATAGTTATACTTTTTTCCCTGTATTTATTAGCGCGATCTACAGCAGCGGCGGAGTGATATTAAGTTACCTAGGCAACCGAGAGAGGTAGAGGTAGAGAGAGAGAGAGAAGTAGTGCAGGTAGTCCCGACTGTAGTGCGCTTCGGTTCTGTGTTTACTTTTCGGCGCAGTGCTACTAACCGGAGCAAAGTAAAATTCCGCCGCCGCTGAGAAACTAGTTCCTGTAAATGTATTGCGATCATTGAGATGCAAGCGTAGTTTGATTTTTAACATTATTCTCTCAACAGACATTTACTTCGATAGTCTGGCGTTATAATTATTTGCTTTTGGTGAACTGTGGAGTGGGTAAAACTGTTTTTAATGGCAGGCTAGCAGTTACCGCTGACTCGCGCTAGCCTAGCACCGGCGAACTATGCAACTGGAACGACTGGATGAACATTTTTGAAAACTGTCTCCACTGATAAATAACACTAAGGGTAACTTGGAAATCAGGCCCGATGTCCAAAATTCTGAACCACCCCTTTAAGTTCACTAAAGACATTATCAAATGTTTACGAAGATACTTCCCAAGACGGGCATTTTAACATGAATTTCTTTCTTCTGCTGAACACAAAAGAAGATATTTTGAAGAATGTTGGTAACCAGACAGTTTCTGGACCCCATTGACCTCCATAGTATTTTTTCCCCCATATTTTGAAAGTCAATGGGGTCCAGAAACTGTCTGGTTACCAACATTCTTCAAAATATCTTCTTTTGTGTTCAGCAGAAGAAAGAAATTCATACAGGTTTGGAACAAATGATGACAGATTCTTTTTTGGGTGAACTATCCTTTTAAGCCATCATTTTGTCAAAAACCCCCCAGAAAAAACACTCTTCTCTTTCCTATGGAAATTACAAACAAATTAAAGTTGAAGTTTTGCTGTTACTTTTTAACTGAAGCAGGAACCATAAACCATAACCACAATATTATTTTAGACATAGAGCTGTGCTTGCTAAGTGCCAATAAGCAATCACATATCAACTACTTAGAAGAATAACCATCCCGGGCTGCGTTTCTCAAAAGCATTATGACCTAAGTTGATCGTATAGCGAACATTGGTGGTTCTCGCAATGCTTTTGAGAAGCGCAGCCCTAAACACATTAGCAACCATGTAGCAACAGCCTGGCAACCACCCAGAGCACTTTAGCATACTTCTGGCAGGCTTTTTCATGGGTAAGCAGCACTCCCTGAAGAAAATATCAATATCCAGTTCATTTTCAACCATCAAATTCTATTTTGTAAGAGCTAAATGTGGAACGGACAACACACTCACTGACACATCCAATCATCAGGGTTCCCGAGTCTTCTTCTCAATATGGAAGCACTTCCTATATTCTCATCGAAATCTCTATTTATAACTATATTCCGTGATAGTCCAGATGCTCGACTGTAAAAGGTACATAAATCACATTACATGAATCCAAATAAATTCTCACACATGCAAAATTTATGAAATATCCCTCCTATTTTGTATAATTAAATTCACTTCAATCAAATTCGCAGCACTATGCATTCCTAAAAAACTTTTTAACTGGAACAACAGGCGGTTCGAGCCACTCCGACCTCAGGGGTGACTGACTGTGTGTGCATTATAATTACATAGTGTAACAAACACTTTTTATTGGGTCACCTCAGATAGAATTATTTCAAATATTTTGTAGCACACGGACTCGATTTTATTTTGACCATATGGTTTATATGCAGAGACGTTTAATGATTGTATATTCTGAGATTTTCTGCCAGATCCTGCAGGCTGCCTTTCACACCACATCTCCTCGCTCCTCTTTCATTTATGTCCTTTACTGTCCACCCGTCCTGCTCCCCTCCCCCACGCACCCCACACCGCCAGAAAAACGGTTGCTATGTCTCCTGCCACAAGGCCATGTCACTTCCTGCGACCGCAGACACCAGCATGGGCTTACAACGCTCCTGCCGCCCCAAGGGACAACATGCCATCCGATGCCTCGCAGAATATAAACATGTTAGACGTTACAAAGACTGTTTTTAACAGAGGATGGAAGCCGATGCTGTCACATCCCCCAAGCTGAATTGGGAAGCAATGAAGCTCCCAAAGCAATACCAAAATGGATTAATTCTCACAGCTTTTGGTTTGGAAGAGGTTTCTCAGCTGGAAACTCATCTTCTCCATAGAGGGACCATGCACATCTAGGGGTGTTCAATGTGAAACAGCAACTTTCGAACCACATAACGGGGGAATGAATCTGGATTCATACGGAGTGGCCGCTTGCCAAGCAGACAGGCAGAGATATAAAAAGATTAGGACAGGAAGAAAAGTGGAAAAGAGGCTGTAGCTGTACTCAGCCACCCTACAGGAATAACACCAAACACACACACACACACACACACACACACACTGTGTTATCTCACTAAAGAGTGTTTTTATGTAACACCTGTAAACACTTTTATCCTCTTCATGGTGATGGAAGAAGGCTGGAGGTTGTGTACATAGCAGCTACAAAAAAAAACATGGACTCATATGTCATATGCTCTCTCCGTCCCTCCTAATCCTTGTTGCATGCGGAATACAAATCATTTTAGTCCCTGAGAAGCACATTATCGTCATATTATTAAAAAAAAATGGTCAGGTAGCCTAAAACAATCAGCTTTGTGTTAACATCTAAATGGGATATTTCACCCAAAAATAAAAATGTTATCATCATTTACTTAAACTCATGCCATCCCCATTCCCTAACCTGGTATGACTTACTTTCTTCTGTCAAGCATGAAGATATGTTGAGGAATGTTTGAACTGTTTTTTTTTTTGTCCATACAATGAAAGTCAATGGGGTCCAAAACCATTTTTCAAAATATTTTCTTTTGTGTTCTTCAGAAGAAAGAAAACCCACACAGGTTTAGAACAACATGAGAACAATATTCCTTTTTACAGTCAAAAAAATGACTTGATTAACTTGACTACATTTGGTTACACCACTGAAAGGTATTTTTACAGGTTGAAAGAACTATTCATCCACTGTTACAGCACAGAAAAGCTGTTTTTAAGATCATTTAAAAGTGGTGGCTGCATTTAAAATAAAGTCTGCATATGTGACACTGGCTTGTTCCTTGCTTTTTGAAGACGACACTTTGGAATAGATATGCCATTGCAATTAATATGTGTGTAACAGAGAGGCGGAGATGTGACGGGGGAGGGTAAAGGATGGAGGAACGGTCATGGCTGGGGGTGGAAAAAACTCTTTAACATTATTATGCAGGGAATGCCCATCCCCCTGTCCCATCTCGGGGAAAATCTCCATGCACCTTTCAAAAGGGTCATGGGAAATCAAATCTACCAATCAGAAAGAGTGTACATTGCCATATCTGCTCGACTGCAAGTGACATAAGGATGTGTAAAGAAGACAGGCTTACTGGTCACATGATCAAAACAGTGCATTGTAGATTGAACAAGGGCTGTCTCTTTGGATGCAACAGTAGAAAAATGTGCTTTAAAATTTAGTTTTACCTGGAATTGTACCTCTCCTCGGGGTTTTATAGGTATTTAATTGTATAGAAGTAATGCTTTCGTAACGTAAGATATTCTCAGTGTATGTAACATAAATAGATTTGAACTAAATCGAGTTCAGCAGGTCAACTTTCCATAACTTCAGCACCATGGACAGAGAACAACTTCCTACAATGGCAATTGCAGCAAGAAAAACAGGACTAATTTCATTTAATTAAAAGTGCCAATAATGAAAATGTCAACTGGAGAATATGCCTTCGAGCATTATTGACATGAAACGCGAATTAGGAACAATTACCGTTCACACATTACATTTCTTCACAACAAAAGCAAGATTATGGACAAATAAGCCAAACTAAATCACTAGTGTTGTAAAGCCCATAATGTGGAAATCTTACCTACACGATGGTTAGAATTGAACCAGAGCACATCTGCAGAAGTGACGATGCTCCAACGAGACGGGCACGAGCTTCATGAACGAGTTTTAACTGAACTGTTACGGAATCCGCGTAAGTGACTTTCGTCGTTTTCCCCCCTCGACTTTTGGGGTCCTAAAACGGCTTAAAACATGAAGCGAATGGGGCGAATAAAACAAGAAATGTGGCGTATTAACAATCTCACGCGATTTCGTTGCAAAAATCAAAGAGTTCCTTAATTCATATCCGTTTTTGTGGAGTTGTCAACATCCTGAGAGACTTTTCATAGACCGTTCCTTGAATGTAAGGAAAGGTAGAAGCCCCGAGAGCACAGTATAGTAATTTAGAACAGACAAAAACTTGTTGAGGTGACCAAAAGTCCCTTTCAATAGTTTTCAAATCCGCCTTCGTTCGAATAAACAAACTAGTTCTGCATCGAAGAGTGGTCCGTAAAATGAAGTGTCGTACAAAACGCTGTTCCTTTAAAACGTCCTCAATCGCAGCATGAAACCCTTCGCAGGTCTATATCACAATGCACTCAAGCTCCATGTGTTAGTGTCTTCTCTTTCCCTCCTTCTCTTTGTGCGACAAATGACTATGGACTGAAACCTCAGCTGGGTTGTTCTCTGAGCGCGCGACGCGGATGTGCCGTATGTTTGGTGTCGCGCGCGGTAATTGCTGCTGTTTGTCTCGTGCAGCTGAAGTGCACTGTAAATCTGCCCGCGCGCGGAGTGGGCTGAGACGGTTTTACAGTTCCGGACACTGACTGACGATATGCGGCTATCAGGAACTGAGATGTGAATTCAACGAATCCAGAGAAGCATCATAAATTCCTCAGAGCCCCTGGAAGGCGTTCAGATAACACCTTACTGATTAATTAAGTCGTAAAGATGTATGCTAAACTTTCCGGGGCCACACTAAGTAATGATGTAGTTTATTTAATCAACACAACACATGTTGCCTGTAGCCAAAATGTTATGTAGCCTACCGTAGGCTACATTATTATTAAACATTATGTTATAAGATTGTTAAATGGACACAGTTTGTAAAGCGTTATTATGTTTTATAAAACGAATAGTTCCGACTCTAAATTCTAATTGGATGAGCTGCATTCTGAGCCGTTGATAGGACATGTTGATCATACATATTAATCAACGGATGTTTAATGCGCTTTAAACAGTAGCCTATACAGTTAGGATCATGAACTTGACGGAAGAAATGTTTATTTCGATTATTATTTCTACATTTAGCTACTAAACATGACTTTTATCTTATTGCAATTGCTGCTATTTTATCAAATACAGTGGGGAATAGGTCTACGTCAGCAAAGCCAAGGCCTCACGTGATTGCTTTATTTTGCTCCACACTTTTTAGTTATTTTTTAAGTGGGGCCAAATTACAAATGATGTTGTAATATTAAAGGTGAATTTCTGCACCACTAGCCTCACCATGGCTGCGTCCGAAATCGCATATACTCTCTTGGGTAGGTTCTTATTTTGAATAAGTAAATGCTTCACGTGTGTGTGTGTGGTATGAATGTAATCTGTACGTACTACATTCGCCATGTTGTCATTATCATGTGACCTACCAACGTCAGTTACGTCACTTCACTGTCATTCATAAATGCTCTCCCTTTGCCTCGATAGTAAAGTGTCCATCATACGCACACTTCAGAATCTCACCGGAATAAGTATGTCATACAAGTACTTTCGTCTATTCTTTTATGAGTACTGTCAATTCTGTGAATGTTTTGTCACATTCTTTTTTCCCATCTACTATATAGTAGGGAAGTATGCGATTTCGGATGCAGCCCACATGTAGCCTACGTTTTTTGTACACTCCCCCACCCCTAATGTCATTGGTCGATCAAACAGATAGTTCCGCCCCCAAACACACGCCATTGGTTGAGTCGGAATGCTCAAACAAACGGAGCAACGTGTTGATAAGGCCACATTGTTACACTTTTCATGGAAGTATAACCTCATATAATAGTGGTCTCTGCACATCAAACTGTCAAAATCTAACATCCACAAATTACACACTTTACTTTTAAAGCCCCATATAGTCCTAAATATCTTAATTTACATTTTAAACCTAATATTTGATTAACCTACAAGCATTTACTGTTTTGGTCATCAATATTCTGATCACACCAAAGAGATCCGAGACAGCTGTTGGGAAGTGCGATAAAACCATGTGTAAGTCATATTTCCATTTCTCATTGATTGCCGTTTCCCGATTTGCAATTTGATTGAACCGGCGGCTGTTTACAGTCAACAGTGCATATAATTCTTGGTTGCAGCGATGAGCGTTGAGAATTACACCCGCCCTCACAGTCTTCCCTTCTCTCACATGAAATGCTGTCATAAGATCTACTGTAGATGATCACGTCATGTCAGCCACTGATTTCCTGAAATCTGGCTGTGAGGTTGTTCTGAAGGAGAACAAAAGAGCCGGCCAGTGGATCTGGATGAAGGCCAAGATAAGCAGTAGCCCATCTGTAAGGCCTGCTCATTGATTCTGGCCAACATGATAATGACTGGTAGGATGCAGAGAGCCAGGGCTCAGCCGGAGTGTGCCCGGCTTTCCAGCTCAAGGCACAGAATGGGCTCTGTGGATTAATGGCGGCAATGCAGTTTTGTTTATACAGTGAAGAACACGAACCAAAACGAATCATTGCGCTACAGTGAGAGTCAGATCTCTGAATGACTGAAACGGGCTCTTCTTAGTAACATGCCTATTAGTAACAGCTATTTTCAAGGCATGCAAGTATAGATCTTTGGTCCAAATGAAAAAAATAAACATATTTTTCAGATTGGTCCAGCATCCTAGAGCAAAAAAACAAGGCCAAATGTAAATTCCACTATCGTTGAAAAGGTTTTATAAAGTTATTAACATTTTTATTCGGCAAGGACACATTAAATTGATCAAACGTGACAGTAAATGCATTTATAATGTCACAAAAGATTTCTATTCCAAATAAATGCTGTTTTTAAACTTTCAATTCATCAAATAATCCTAATTTTCACAAACAAAATTAGCAGCTCATCTGTTTTCAACATTGATAATAATGCTTAATGTTTGTTGCGCAGCAAATCCACATAATGATTTCTGAAGGATCATCATGTGACACTGACGACTGGAGTGATGATGCTGAAAATTGAGCTTTGATCACAGGAATAAATTACATTTGAACATATATTACAATAGAAAACAGTTATTTTAAATTGTAATACCATTTCACAATATTACTGTTTTTACTGTATTTTTGATCAAATAAATGCAGCCTTGGTGAGCATAATAGACTTTCAAAAGCATAAAAAAATCGTACTGACCCCAGACTTTTGAAGGGTGCAGCAGTTTTCACCTTGACCGAGACATTTTAAGCATTGTTTTCTTCATGTCCGTACTCGCCTCTTCTAAGAAAAGAAAGTTGTGCAAAATAAAATGTATTTTTTATTGCATTAATTATGATACGTCTCTCCTGAGACACGAGCAAACAGCTCTTTCTGTGTGTTGTGTGTTTGAGGTAATACTGACTGACTGACTGTACTGAGCTGGATAATGTCAGTTTGAGCCTTAGGCACTCTGACTCCTCAATGGTGTGTCTGCATGCATTCATACATGTGTGTGACATGCGAAATATACACTAAAACGGATGGGTCACGACCTAAAAATGGGCTGCAGGTCTGTTCTGATCACAACAGCAGCCAACATGGCTAGGTTATAATAATAAGAATAAAAAAAAAAAAGACCTAGACACATTACATACAGGTTCACTTGATACATGGATAAATATGGGATTTATTTTTCAATAAATTGAGTGCTGAGAGCATGAAACCATACAAATTTAAGAGACATTTAGAAACCAAAATTCATATTTCACTCAATTTTATATAACATCTGGTCTGCCCAGGTGAGAATAAATTATAATAACTATGATTAAGGACATTTTGGTGTTTTATCAGGTTTGGATGAAGGGAAGAGGCAAGGACTCAATGATGCAGAGTTGATGGGATTTTATTTAAAGCTGCAGTCCGTAGCTTTTTTTGGGTTAAAAATGATCCAAAATACATATTTGAGAAAATACATAACCAGCCAGTGTTCAGAACTATCTGCTTGCCTTAGCTCGATTCAAAGCGGTAAGCTTGTAATAATGTTTTTAACTCCAGTGGTACTGGTGGATTTCCGCGGGAGATTCAAGCATGCCTTTGTGTCATTACGACACATCTGTACACATAAAGAAGAGTCTTGGCTAGGATGTTGGAGGTGGAGATTTTAGCCTTTTCTCACAGCACTTGATATAATTAAACTTATCAATTGATGGCGGATCCAGAAAGGTTCAAACGACAATCACCAGTGACAACTAGAGACTCACCCGCTGTAAAATGCAAAAGACTTCGTACGGACTTCGGAGTGGCTAACTTACTGAAAAAAAGAGACAGCAACTGGGCATGCGAAAACAAGGATGCATATCGGAAGGACATTACATGTAGTCACGCAATGCTGACGTTGTTAACATTAACAATTTGAGAACAAAGTATAATTTGCACGGTTTTGCGTGATATGATAAGCGATTGTTAGATTTAATCAGCGCGATTTTACTGCAATGTCAGAACCAGAACAAAAGTGGATGTTTCTTACTTGTTCAGATTAGATTTTCCGGTGAAAATTATTATGTTGGTCATACTTCCAAAAAGAATAATCTGTTATTCTGAATGCCAGTATCGACACCGGCGCAGTGATTGACACCTGCACACTCTCCTCAATGTGTTAATCCGCGCTGTGCCGTGTCGAACTACAACTCACGTAAAGTTGATAATTCCGCGAATGACTGCAATTGCAGATTTCGAACAGAGATGGCGACAAAGAGGAAAAAATGCGGACTGCAGCTTTAAAAACAAACAAACAAACAAAAACTAAAATGACACGATCTGGCACAGGACTGAGAACACAAGGCGAAAAAAGAGGAGAGGAAATTAAGAGGAATCCAATAATCATGTAACAAGAAAGCTGAGATTTAAGGGATAGTTCACTTCAGAATGAAGATTCTGTCATCATTTACTCACCCTCAAGTTGGTCCAAACCTGTATGAATTTCTTTTTTCTGATGAACACAAAAGAAGATATTTTGAAGAATGTCAGTAACCAGACAAAATATCTTCAAAATATCTTCTTTTGTGTTCAACAGAAAAAAGAAATTCATACAGCTTTGGACCAACTTGAGGGTGAGTAAATGATGACAGAATCTTCATTTTTAAGTGAACTATCCCTTTAAGACAATAGACATCGAAGCACATGGCATGTAGAAACAAACAAAACAAAACAAAACAAAACCATTTGTTCACACAAAACAACACGAACACGCAGCCAATGACAGCTCTCACTGAAACCACACGAAAGCATGCGGCCGATAAACAACGCGAGCAACGACAACACGAGAACGCCCGGCCAATGAAAACAAACCAGTCGCTCTACAAAAACACACGAGACAAGAGCGCATGCGTGGTGAGTGAATGAACACTCCCCCTTCGCTCACAACAAGAGACAAAACATGGAGCCTGAATGTCCGAACACTGAACCGAAACCGAACTAGACAGAA